ATTTTTTGTTTGAATTTTTTTAATCTATTATATGTTGCATATAGTATTATATTTGTTTGTTAAATGCTCTGGTAAAATATCTTACATCATGTTGGTTTAAAAAAGTTCTATTTTATAAGACATCAGTAACACAAAAATCTGCCTGAAATATTGCGATTAAAAGACTGAAGCAATTAGTAGCAGTAAGGGAAAAATCTCTAACAATTAAATCATAATGATATACATAAAATACAACTCACACTCGAAWTATATTTATATACTTCTTTTCTAAAATTTATTATAACTAAAAATGAAATATAAAATAGACTCAAAAGGATTATTCATATACTCGTTATATTATAAGCAAACATACAAATTAACCACAAGACAAATTTTATAGCKAAGCAATTTTTTAAAGCAGTAAAATTGTTCGTTTATCACTGKCGTGATGCGTGAGTTGAAATATATGTCTCAGAACGAGAAGATCATTATAAGGAATCTAAGCTACAAATCTAAAGCGAAATTAAAAAAAAAAATATTGTTTTTTTTATATATCGATAATTTACTGTGAGAGACAACTTTGCCAAATATTACATCAAAATGTAAAATCATTAGTGTTTATTTTACCGAGTCATTCTAAAGTATATAAAGTGCATTTGACGGTTTTTACGATGAGTGAAATTATTCAACAAAGAACTTCCAATARATGTTATGTGCGGAGTGAAATTTCCTGTGCCAAATGTTCAGAATSTTGAAAAAGCCCTTCGGTAATAATTGCTTGTCGCGAGCAAGTGTTTTTGATTGATACAAATCWTTCAAAGAGAGTCGAGAACGCGTTGACGGCGAAACACACCCAAGATGGCCATCAACATCAATTGATGAGCAACACGTCATTAAAAGAAAGAAATTGGCTTGAGAATCGACGAGCAACAGTCAGGTATCTCACTGACATCGTTGGAATATCGGCAGGATCACAGTGACAATCACTTTGTAAGATAATTGGGGCCTAAGAAAAGTGAAAGCTCAATTGATTCCAAAATCACTCAATATTTTCGAAAAACTGCATTGGATGAATGTCTATGAAACAATGTTATCCGATTACCAGGATTTGATGAAACTTATTATATTATATCTGGCGTTGAGTCCTGGATCTGTTTTTACAGCCCAGRAACAGACGATCAACCGAACGAATATCGTGATAAAGGTGAGCCGAAGGCGAAGAAAACACCTCAAAGTAGGTCAAAAACCAACATTATGTTGACAGTTTTCTTCGATTATCGAGGTGTGGTGTCTGCCGAGTTTTTCCACACTATCTACAAGGAATACTATTTAAGTGCTATGCATCGATTGCGCAAAGCTATTCGTAACAAGAGATCGTAATTCTGGGCGGGCAACTGTAGAGTTTTGCACCATGATAATGCATTGCCGCATGCTGCATTGATTCTCCGTGAGTTTTACTCAAAATTTTCAACCAATATCATGCCGCAAGCACTCTATTCGCTTTATTTAGCTTGCTGTGACTTCTGGCTATTTCATTCAGCAGATGCTAAGTGTCATTTTAAGATAATAAATGTGTATCACTGAGCGCACTGAAGGCTGTCCTGGAAATTAACTTTAACAACTGTTTGTTAGATTGGAAAAAACGTTGGCACAAATCTATTGAGGCCAGGAGAGATTAATTTAAAAAGGACGATAAAGATTTTGCAAAATAAATTAAGAATTTAAAAATTATTAAAAAAGTTTTACATTTTTTTGCTCTTGGCAATATATTTGATATGTCGGGATTAATTTTGGATAAGTCGGAGTTTAACCCGCTACAGTATCCAGATCGAAGCTGCGCGAGCATCACTTAAAAATAACATATCTTGATACTTAAAATAGGTTTTGAGTTATAGCCTTCTAATGTGTAGCCACCAAGTTTCATCAGATTAATCCTTTTATATTTGAAAGTATTTTCGAATTCGCTTGAGTTATCAATTGGAAACAAATGATCCGGTCACTATCATTTTTTTTGTGTTGTCTGTTTATAGCTTTCTATATATTAATTTAAAAGTTTTTTGATCTGGTCAAATATCCAAGTTTGGCAGACTTAAACACGATTCACCTTTGCGACTAAAGTTGGGAAGAATTCAGATTTTTGTTGATAAAATCCTTTCAATTTGTAAATTTTTGATGACTATTCGACCGTAGGTCATCAAAAAGACAATAGATACAACTAGGGAGCATTTTTAGATTTTTAGCGCTATCCGATATCGGGTGTAATTCGAAAAAAAGCTTTTTTTCCAAAAAAATGTATTGGTTATTCTTGAAATATGTGTGCAAGGCTATGAAACTAAAATTTTCAAATAAGAGTGATTTTATTTTTTATTAAAAAATTATTTAACAGAAGACTCATAAATAGTGCTTAATTGGTGTAGAAATGTATGTAATTTTACGAAAAATATTATTATCAGGGAAGTGAATACAGTTCTTACGACATAAAGCCTCYTTGAGTTGAATAAACTGAAACAATTATTTCAATAGTACCTTCGCTTACTTATAAAAATCTTGGAAGAAACTCATAAGAAATAAGAACAATGTGTAAAGGAATAACGAACTAAAGTTAGACAATTTCAGCAATAAAAGATTTCAGTACGATATCTACAAAGCCTAAATATTCAGAATGCAGCAACTGAAAATCGCAAATACATGAATAAATTACAAAATTTCATAATATTCATAAATCAAAAGATTTTTCTCAATTAAATACAGTTTTAAATTTTTATTACGAATGCTTCATCACAAGCATATTCTTTAATTCCAAAGTGTTGTAAAAGTATAAATATTTTCTTTAAAAACRTAATATGCTGCAGATATGTTCAATAACCCCTTTCCCAGCTAGCTATCGGCTATCATTAAATTCAATCTATCACACCGCAGTTAGCTGGTCTTTTGGCGCACTTGCGTTCATTAAATTTTTACCACAACTTACACTCAAACAACAGCATCGACCAGCAGACGTAAATAGCTCTAAGCTCTATTTTAATTTTCCCCCATTCCGAATRCTCTTTCAGCTACACTTCAGCTATTTACAGCGACTTCAACGCAGCGCGAACTTGAACAAAGTGTGAGCGTATCCTTTACGACATGATAAACAATTAAATTCGTTGCTTACTTTTGCTCATTTTGCGCTGATCTGCTGCTTCTGCTTTCAATCGCTTGCTGTCACATTTTAATGATTGGCGCTGGCGGTGTACGTTGCCACCACAGCCCCCCAMCCGCTGTGATACAGTCAGTTTGTTTGCTTATCTGCGCGCCTCTTGCGGCAACCGTTGAGTGAGATGTGTGGCACATTGCTTATTGCCTGTCGTTCCACACAATCACGCGCTGGCGTTGACAGACACACACACATATATAGGTATATACGCAGAGTACCTCTGTGCACACTTTAATGCTTGTCAACGCTGCGCAAAGCTTATTTAAGCTTGTACATCCGCTCAGCCATTCGCTATCTGCTGCTTTTGCTCGCAAGTGCAAGGGAATCGCTCGACTACGCTGTTGTACACTTTTGAAAACAAATCCCTAATAGGTCAGCTGTGCTACAAATACTACAAATGTGCGTTAGTAGTGGTGTGCAGACTTCTATCTTGGTTTGCAGCTAACAGTTATATAATATATAGCATTAAGTGTGAGTGACTGTTGTGTGGGAGTGTGCGTGTGTTCGCGTCTTATTGGTTTATTTCCTAAGAAAATATTTATACAACACGGAGTAAGTGAGTCGGTTTACGAGTATCAGTTGAATTGGATTTGTCTGCACTTAATGCCAGCTTTGAAACAAAAACTGGAATTAAAAGTGTGCGGACGCGCACAAATATTTGCCAGCTACTTTTAGTTAAGTGGGTGGAGTGTTGGCTGTGGTGTACGGCTTGAAGGCACGAGGAAGTCGTAAAGCATTTATTTTT